AGGACGGCTCAGTATTGTCCTCCGTCGCAACGCTCCTCAGCAAGACTGCCGCAGATCTTGGAGCTCGAAGTCGAGACTCCTTCCTGACAGGGCGGCTCGGTACGACCCTCGGACCCTGCGCCGCAGGGCGGGTCGCAACGGCACGCCCTCGATCCCCAGTCACCCCAGCCGCAGCAGCAGCATACGATATCCCGGAGGTCTTACCCACCCCACTACTGGTGACGGCACGACGCCCACCGTCAGTCCCAGTCACAGGGGGAGGAGGCACAACGCTCCCACCGTCTTTCGCTACGGCAGCCACTGTTCTCCTTTTCCTCCTTGCTTTCCTCCGAGCACGCTTGGAGCCCGCGACGGTCCATGGCTCACCGTCCACGGCACATGTCGACGGCTCCATCCGCCGAGCACCCGCAGTCGCAGCCGCACTCACCCCACTATCAGCCCTCGTCAGCCGGCGAGGCACATGGTCCAAGTTCTTTCGGACCCCGCCGAGAGGTGGCCTAAATTCCAGAGGCATGACCTGAGGTCTTGCCTCACCCGAAACGTCCACGTTCGGACCCCGAATCCTCAGAGAGCGTCCCCGAGAACGGCGCGAGACCGGCGAATCGCACAACGGAGCGGTTCCATCCGAAGAGGGAGTACGATCCCTCCCGCGACCGCCATCCCCCATAGCCAGCACCTTGCGCTGCAGGGACTCGACCTGATCCTTTAGGGAAGCCCTCTCACTGCGCAGAGAGTCCATCTCCTTGCGGAGCTTCACGACCTCCACCTCCAAAGCAAGGTTGTTGGCCCTTATTACATCCGTAGGTCCCGTACTCTTGTCAATTACAGTATGAAGCTGTTGCACCGCGATCTTCGCGATATTATCCCCGACTTTGATCTGCCTGCGAAGGGCCCCGTTCATCGTCTGGGTCTTCCTCTCGGCTTCTCCCGCAATGTCCAAGACACGCAATATTTCCACCACCACCGACTTCGGCGACATCTGGGGAAAGAGACTTGTCACCTCTTCAACGGCCGTTTTCTGTTTAGCCGACAGCCTGTCATCCAGATGACACTCCACTAGGCCTCTCCTCTTCTTGCGGCCTTGCGCCCCTTTATTCGAGAGCCGGGGAAAGTCCTCTCTGTCCAACACGTCGTCCTCGACTTCCAGTCGCTCCAATGACATCCTGGATACAGCGTGAGAACCGGGGGCATTACTACCCTTGGGTTTACGGCCCCTCTTTTTGCCCTTATACGGAGTGTTATCGAAGGAGGATGAGAGCCCCATCAACCTCCACCGATGTGGACGCTAACGAGGGACTCCCCACTCGCGAACCCGCACGGTCCACCCTCATCCCCTCGTCGCTAGATGATGGCACAGCGAGGTCCACCACACCGGCAACCCTAACCAGGTTAGGACCGCCTTCAGCCGACCCGCTCTCCGTAACGGGGGAGTTCACAATTTCACCCGCGACAACCTTGATTTTCATTTCGCTCGGATATTTCTTGATCTCCAAGATCTTTGGTCCCCTCCTCGTCCGCAAGACCCTTCCAGACGAGGCGGATCCAGGAGCCGCTAAGTCCTCCGCTGAGGTACTCGCTACCGCGTCAACCTCCCGGGGATCCAGGCACAGCCGCAACTCTTTTCTCCTCTCCTGCAGCGGAGACGGTGCAACGACACCAGGCTCTCCCTGCTCCTTCGTCCCAGGTGCGAGATCCGCACCTGGAGCATCTTCCGCAGCCACTGTCCGGACGGTAGCCAATTCCACTACAGGGCCCGTCGGCAACCCTGCAGTTAGCCCATCGCACGATGACGACTCGCCGGGGGCAGGGACAACACCCCCGGTCGGCCGGTCCCTTCCGAAGCCCAGGCGTTTATCTTCGTTATCAGTGTCCATTTCATAATATGTATTGTTGTCGGCGTAGTAATACGGCCGAGGAGCACGCCGACCAACTCCCCGATTCGTCTCCCATCGGCGTCAGGTTGGTGAACCGCCACATCGATGTAGGGAACAAACAGCGAAACTTCCCTAGAGAGAAGCTCACCCACACATCGATGTAAATGTCGAAAAAATCGAAAAACACTCCGCGCACAGAACATCGTACCACGGAGAGACCGAATGTCTACGACACTACAATACACAGGGCACGAGATGACAGTTGCTCCTACCAGCTGGGATAACACCCAGAGCCCGCCCTGTGGCCGCTATTGGACAGTTTACCCACCGTCCATTTATCCCGTGGCCGCGCACCTCTACCACGGGACAGGGGGACCTTTTATAGAGGGCCCACCTCGCCGTCCGAGAGGTTGGGTGCAATCTCGGACGCTCGGTCTCTTTCATGGTGCAAGGGAAGAGATTACGAGAGCTCAGGCACCGCGGGTTCGCTAAATCCGTAGCGGAATCATATCGAAATGCGACCGAGCAAGTCGGACCGCATCCGAGATGATCCCACCCCCTGCGGGAAACCTGACCTGACCGGACCTGATCTGATCTGACCTGACCTAATTTGGCCTGACATGACCTGATCTGATCTGACCTAACTTGATCTGATCTGACCTTTTTTTTTTTATTTGCGTAGGAGTAGAAAAATTTTCACAGCGCCCTCTCCCGAGGGTGGACCTGCAAGGGACACCCATCGGAGGGGTGGGGGGAAAACGCCCAGCGGCCCGCACCACTGGGTGTGCCGGATTCGACCACTCCGTGATCTCGATGATACACCGGAGCGGCCGCCTACTGACTAAAAAACTCCCCCTGGTCCAAGCAGTACATCAAGGCATATGTGGGAGCACCTCGGAACCGCCTACAGGCATTACGTCAGGGTGCCCCCGGATTGCGCGCGGGATGGCTTCCACCACTTAAACGGGCACGTCTATTTACACTAAATATCCGCTTTCGCACACCCAACCAGTCAGTCCGGCGCGGGTCGCGACCAATCGACGTTCGTTCGCACAACACTATCCATTTGTGTCCACGTCCATCGTCTCCTCAGCGGGAGGAACACCCCCCGGCGCAGAAACGGTCACCGCAGCAGCAATGGTCGTACGTACCGAGCCGTTGTAAGGAACACAACCGTCTCCGCCAGCCCTGTGTCCAGCCGGCAGATTCCTAGCCGCGCACACCGGGCAATGAGGCGATGCGCGACAGCCAATCGCTGTGTGTCCCTCCTTTCCACATTTAAAACATCCGTTGCTCCTATCTACGGTGCTCTTGCAGTTGGCCCTGGTGTGCCCGACCGCGAAACACCGGTAGCATTGCAGTCTCCTCCTGGCCAGCGGTATCAGTCGCACTCGCGACCACCCCACCCGAAGTCTTTTTGTAGCAAATCCGCGCAGGGCTCAGGCCACACGCTATTCAGACCGTCCCTACCGGGTCTCAATGGTCCAACGCGAACGTCGCACAGTTGTACTTTTCCTCGTGCCGCGACAGCCTCCTTAATTTTTTCGGCCGTTATCGACTCATCCAAGTCAATGAGACGAAACTCCATCCTCCTGATTGGATGCATCACCTTTACTCCCACTCGTTCTTTGAGAAGGAAGTTAAACCTTTCTACCAGAGAGTTTGCCTTTTTACCAGCGTCCTCTCCCGGGATCTTTACCAGCAGACCACCAGTCTGCGCACGCCTAACTCTGGTGTCCGCAATACCCAGTTCCTCAAGGGGAACTCTAGTCCTTGCCTCGCACATGACCTCAGCATAAGACGGGCCTCCCTTGTCACACCGTATCATCACAACCGCAGAGTTTCTCTTCCGCGCTCTTACACGTACAGTCCGCTTCGCTGAAGCCGCAATTTCAGTCCCAGGTTTGGGGCGGGCCCGAAGATCCGTCTCGGATACCGCCACATTCCGAGTCTTTTGTGCAGCCATCGCGAATGAAAGATCCTTTTTCACCGCCCCCGCACCATTGGCACTGTGCGTCGCCACGTCCGATGCACTTGCGGGCAAGCTACTGTTACTGTTAGAAGTCCCTCCCTTTTTCTTCCTCTTCTTTTTTCTCTTCCCCACTACCGGCACCCATGGCTCTCCCTTCTCGAGGCCAGAGGGAGGATGGCAGTCCCGATGGTTCTTTCCCCGTGGATCGTGGACCTCTGCAGAGAGCACAATCTCCCTCGTCCACCAGACCTCCTCGCACCGAAGAATCCTCCGGCATCGTCCCGGAAACTCCAACCAACGAAGGGCCGCGCGCCAGAGGGACATCCTCACTCGCGTGAGAAACACCCCCACCGACAGGAGAGGCACGTATAGAACGGCCAGATTCTCCGCACTCCTTTTGCCCTTGCGCTTGATAGTCCAGAAGTTTCCTCTTTAAGGTCTCGACCTCTTTGCGGAGACTATCCCTATCTTTCTGGATGACTTCCATTTGATCTCTGAGCGCATCGACTCGGGTGATTCCCCTGTAGGGGTCGATCGCCCGGAAGCGCGGACACTACCCCCGGGAAACCGTGACGAGCATCCGAATTCTCGTCGTTTCGTTACCTTTTTAGAACCGTCCATATTGTATATAGTACCGGCGATAGAGAAGAAGACGGGCGACTCGCCAGCCAATCACCCGACTCGCCTCTAGCGTTTTCCGCGACTCAAGCGGACGACCGTCTGACGGCAAGGACGATACCGCCGAACGGCCGCAGGGCGGACGCGAACCAACGTCGGTAATTGGACTTACCCCCGTCACTCCTCAATGAACGTTCATTGGCACACCTCCAGGATAGGGAGCAAAGAGTAAAACCCGAAGGATAATCCACATCCTGAAGTATACTCGTCGGAGCCTGGACTGCGATAATTTAAGTTACTCAAGGTCTCCGGTCATTCTCTATCCAGCGCCATCGCGAGAGAGAACCAACCGAGGCTCAAGGAACCACACTGTCGGTTTCTTTCCTATCCGACGCAGATACTCCCTGAAACAGCCGTGTCCGGTGAGCACCTACGTCATGTGGTATGAAAGTTCGCCCGATCCCCTGCTAACCGATTCCTCTAGGCAGGCCTCCACAGTCCGAACACTCGTTGTGGACGGGCTATTCTCGAGAGTGGCACGTCACTCCCGAAAGACCCGCCGACGGGCCTTCCTCCTCAGTTGGTCTCCAGGGTTACGATTTCCCCCACCCCTCCGTAGCCGAATGACTTTTACCATGGCGTAAGTCTCCGCCAGGGCGTCGGCCACGTATTCGGCAGGGAGGATCCCCGTGAGGACCACGGCGGCCGCATACGACATCATTCTGTAGGCCCTACAAATCTTTATGGCTAGCCGCCATTGCACATTGTGCAATCTGTCCTTGATACGGCGGCTGGTCAGGGCCTTCCCACTCCATACTGGGACCCTATAGTAAGTCCCAGACAAGACGGCGTGCATATACATCCGCCTGACCGACGCATTCGGACCGCGAAAGTTGGGCATGAGGCCGAGCAGAGCATTCGTCCGGTCGCCCAATCGTGGGGCTAATTTGTCGAAATGCTCGACAAAGTTCCAGCGACGATCCAGAGTGCGACTCAAATACTTGATGTTGTGCCCCATCGGGACGCGGACTTCATCCACCACGATGTGCGCCCGTGGTCATCCCGCTCTTCCCGTCGTGGAAGAAAATAGCTTTCGTTTTGTCAGGGGCCATCCTCAGGCTGAACTCTTTTATGGAACCGACCACGCACGCCACCGCGATATTCGCCATGCACACAGCTCTTTCCCAGGTCGTACCTCCGGCCACCACCAGCGTGTTGTCCACATAGCAGATCACGTGACAGCTGGGGGGGGGAGGGCTGTACGGAGAACCGAGTCGTATGCGACGTTCCAGAGTAGGGGGCCCACACGGACCTCTGCGGAACGCCACACAACGTGTCCCTTCGCTGCCGGAGTCCCTGTTTGTTGTGGAACTCCTGTGCCTGTCCCGGAAATACTGTTCCACAATGGCTACCAGGTAGGGTTCACCAGGAGGTGATATTCTCTCATCGCCCCCATTACTTGGCCGCACGGCACACTGTTAAAGGCGTTGTCATCTGCTCCGAGAGGGCACGGACTTGCCTAATGGCATCGACCGTGGATAACCCCTCTCGGAAACCGTATTGACCGCGGGACAGGTTAGGACCATCCCGGGACAGATGCTGGACGATGCAGGCAGCGATGATACGCTCCAGCAATTTGCCCGCATCGTCCAGCAGGCATATTGGCCTATACGCGGAGGGACTCTCCACCGACTTGCC